ATGAAGAGAACAGAATAATCTTGCAAGTGAATGACTGACTACACAAATATTGTCAAGCGACGCGGATATCTGTGTCTTAAGAAACAGAAATGGATCCTGTAAGTAACTTGTTGATGGGATACCTAGAATGGTATTTTGGTTTACGAGGCAGTTACTAATGATCCTAAGTTCCATAATGTGTGAAGTAATTTATGGAGTAAAACTTGGCTTTGGTGAAAAATAATTAGCATGCAGACATACAGTAGTTATCCAGGAAGAATATTTACTAAATATATGAAAAACGATGGAGAATTGTTAAAACTTGCAAATGTTCATACAACTGTGAAGAGAGAAAAAGAATGTTTGCAAAAGAAGCAAAAAATGTTAAATGTAAGAACATGCTTTTACTCAGTTTGTTACCCGTATATAAGATATATGAGTTTGCATGTTTTGAGTATATGTGTTTGCAAATTAGAAGAAATATAATAGGAAATTAAATGCAATAAGAACAGGTACTCAATGGATGATGAATGAATGAGAAAAGTATTTAATTGGATGGATTTTTACTCCAAAAGAGAGACATAAGAAGTTTAAGGAATAAAAGGCAGCATATAATAGTCTGTTGGAAGCATTTGCAAGAATAACAAGATATAAAAAGGTACAACAATATTACCGGTAGATCAAGTGCAAACCTGAATCAGAATTTCTTTTTTCTCTTACCTCCTGCTTTGATTTTATTTTGGTTACTACAGTTTTACTTTTCTTCTATTTTGAATAAAGTATGGGGACCCCTGGATCAATGTAAAACCACCAATAGGAATTCACAGTGGCAAGGTGGGGCAAGAAAGAGAGCAAGACAGCAATCTACGATACATAAGAAAATAAATTTTCTAGAGTTGTCTTTATGGGTTTGGAAAAGAAATGTACTGTTTTGATACTTGCTGGGATCATCTAAATCAGGGGTGTCAAACTGCTGGCCCGCGGGCCGGTTTCATCATACCGGAGCCACGCCCACCCCATTGCTGGCAATGGCAAAAAAGCTCCAATACATTGCGTGACATCACATGATGTTGCGAGTTTGACATGTCTAATCTAAATCCTTTGTGGTTTTGAGAGGGAAATTTAGATGGGAGGGGCTTCCTTCACAGACTGGAAACTAGTTAAGCATATATATGGACATGCTGCCTACATGAATGCAAAGCTAGTCTAAGGAAAACTTAATCACATCAGGTGGGCTTCACTTGTTCTTAAGTTGAATCCCCAAGTGCCACACTTTAATTTCATTTGCATACATTAATAAAGTTGTAGCTCTTGTTACTGAAACATGACTGTCTTATGAGAGGGAAAAATGTTGAATATTTTGATTCTTCTCTGGAAAAAAATAGATCTATCAAGCAAGCAAGAGCCTAGATTAAAAAAATACATATACAACATCAACCATCAAGCTGTCAGCTGCCTTCCGGAAGTAGCAAATTTGTGTTAACATGTAGAGATGCTTAGAAGAAACAAATTAAGTAGATAGGCACACATTGCTATATCCATCAATGTTATTGTATTTGAATGAGATAGCATTCTTCCTTTCTCGGCATATCCTTTTCCTTTACTAAAACTAACTACCTTTGTCTCTAATCCCTTATTCAAGCAGAACAATCTCCCACAATTGTAAATGCATTTTCTTCCTGACTTAATGCCCCCAGAAACTAATAGAAGGCTTGGATTAGCTGCAGCAGGGATTGCCTATCGCTCATGGAGAACGATCAGCTCCACCATGATGATGAAATATTTCCACAAGTGAACTATGCTATTAAATCATCAGGTGGATATTAAGATATGTCAAGAACCATTTTGAGTGGCACAGTTTCGCTTCTTTTTCTGACATACTAACAGCTTTTCCCAGTCACAAGAGGACTTTGGACTCCCTTTATCATCTCTAGGCAAGAGACGACTGAAAACAATAGAATGACATTCTTTCCTATTGCAGTGTTATGCTGTAAAACTTTCAATATGTTTCCCCAAGCTTATTGCAGCAGTACTGGGAAAATGAAAGGAATACTTCTGTGCTCTTCTTCTTTTGTAATGTCTGTTGAGATTCTCAGTTATCCAGGTTCATAGTTGTCTCAAAGGTGCTCTTTCAAAAGGCAACTGGCTGCTTTTTCCTTGAGGAAGAAGAACAAAATATTTTGCTTCTTGGATGATATGTATCATGGATATTCTTCTTGGAAGGATATGTATTGACAGTTGAGACTGGATGGTGAGGGAATGGCAGGAGAGGTTCTGACTGGATGATTCGTGGGATATGGAAGGATTGTTTTCTTTGCAGTCATCTGGTTGTTAGCACTCTCCCTGAGGCCTTACTTCAGTGGTGGGATTGAGCCGGTTCGCACCAATTTGGCAGAACCGGTAGCTAATTTTTTGTTGCCCAGGCCCAGAATGGACTTCCCGAAGGGGCATCCACACAGAGAACCGGTTCTTCACATATTTGACTTACTTTCTAATCTATTTCCTCAAACATAAGGAATGAATTGTACAGTAAAGTCTAGGATTTTTAGAGAATGTAAGAAAATGGACTAAATGTGCAATATTTATTAATTTAGTTTATTTATTTATTTAGTTAATTATTAATTTTATATGTCACCCATCTTGCTATTCAGAATATTGATTGTGAAATTCTGGCTTGCGTTGGGATGATACACAGTAATGACAGCGAAAGAGAGTGGAATAATAGGTCTTCTACTAATTAAGCATTTTAAGTGCTCAATTTAAACACAAACATATATCTATACAAACACAAACACACACAAATAGTTTTTTGCTTATAATACTCTCAATTTGTAACCAAAATGAAATGCAAATAAACACAATATTTTGTTACCTAATTAGTCACTGACATTTGTAATTTAGGAATTGAAATAACCTGTGACCTTTTAAAAAAATAGACCACTGTCATGAATATTTGTTTTGAGGAATCTATCTATGTGCAACAAAAGACTGAAGATCATCAGCGAGATGGGGAAAAAGAGAATATGCAAATATGCACATTCTGTAGAGAGAAAAGTTCCCTGAGGATGGGCTTCAGCATGAGTCTGAAAGCTCAGAAGACTAAATGTCTGGTTCCGGTGACCAATCCAGATTGGATACTGCAATATGCAAATATATACGCTCCTTTTTTAAAAAAAAAAAGACACAAAACAAAATGAATATATGTTTATAATTCTGGAAAGC